TTGGAAATATTCCTCCAGCATCTCTGCAACGCCAACCACTACAGTCCAAGCCTCTTTTGGATTCTTCCTGCCGACGCTCTCCGATCTTCGGAAACTAGACCGGGTGGTCCTCGAGGGTTGATTTGGCTAACTTCGGTGGACGAATGTGGGCGATGGCGTAGTTTGACCGGCATACTAACCCGAAGTGTACCGGTCAAGTTTCTGGTCAACCAACCATCCCTTTGCTGACGATTCAGATCTCACTCCAAAGTTCGACCTTTCTGACCGGTCAACTATCTGGTCCTGGCCTTTGACCGGTCGTGGGTGAAATACACCCATCAATAAGCCCTCCACTTCTCGGTTATGCAATTTTGTCATAAGCGGGAAGTAAAAATCCAAAAGGTATATTCAAAATTCAAATTTCTGACTTCTCCCGCTCAAATATTTCAAAATTCAAAATTCGAACTGTCGATTTTGACACGTGCCTGGCGCTGGTCATGGCAGCAGTCGCGTCCCATCGCCTTCCCATGCGCCATCATTGCGCCGCCTGACACGGCGCGACCTCGAGTGGCCACGTCGCCTCCCTCTGTCTTCCTCCTCGCCTATATAAAGGCTTCAACCCCATTGTCTTTCTCACTTCTTCTCGCGCGACCTTCCTGAGTTCCACCGGTCAGTCTCTCCGTTCTAGCCTCCTAGCCCTCCGAGTCAAGTAAGCTTTCTTCCTATCTTTTATTAGCTTTCTTTCTTCATTTTTCCTCCCGGTAGATGTCTTCCTCTGATAGTCAAGGTATCTCTTCCTCGGATGCCTGCGCATCCGAGGAATCTTCAACCTCCTCTTCTTCGACCGGGTCCTCTTTGTCCAGTTTCGAGACCCGGTCAGGCCCCAACGCCACCGTCCCTGGACCGCGACCTGTCAACCAGATGCCCGGTCAGGTTTCTCAGGAGAGGGATGAACCGGTCGACGATGAGCCGGCTCCCTATGACCCTGATGGCGAGTCGTATGAGGGATGGGTGAACCGGTTGGAAGCAGCCGGTTACTTTCCCCTCCCCACCAGTTACCCTTCAGGCATCTACCCCATGTTTCCAAAATCGCCCGGAGGGGTACGTCCTTGAATACGACCCTAACTAGCGCAATATCATCGAGCCTCACCGGGACGATAGGATAGGGTTCCATATCGTCTCCCTGAAGAGCGGCACCGTCTTCCCCCTTCGCCCCCTTCTGGTCGAGTTGTGCCATTGTTTCAAGATCCTCCCCGGGCAACTTACGCCCAATGCCCACCGTTTCCTCAATGCTTTTGTAAATATCTGCTCCCATCTCAAAATCGATCCTACCCTTCGCCTTTTCCTTTATTTGTTTGAAGTCCTTCCCGGTAAGTCGGGTTGCGACGGCTACGTCTACTTCAAAGGCCGTAACGGTCGCCAATTCATCTCGGACCTTCCACAAAGCAACCGGCTGTGGAAGGAAAAATTTGTCTTTATAAAATTCCCCACCGTTTCTCCTCTGGCCGGCATAAAGTGGAGCGACCACCTCCTAAAACCGCAATACACTGAGCCGGCTAACGCTCCAGACTTGGAAGAAAGTTTGGAGAAACTCTTACAAGGGGACCCGTTCACCGGGCAAATGTTCCACTACGGGGCTTGGATTTGGAGGATTTCACCGGGTGGCACGGGTACCCCCCCCC